TCATAGGTACTAGGTATTACAAGTTCGTGTTTCCAAATGAACGGATCGTGTAACAGATTTGAACCCTCGCACGGTTTAGTTATTTCTTGGGCTATATGTTTCCGGTTTCGATGAAGTCAAATGTTTATGATCATCCCCTAGAAGGAAATGGTCACTTCTACGGGGTGTTTCTTTCTTACATGATTGATTTGTGTGTTCCCCCCCTTCTAAATGCCCCTAACAGTCATGGAATTTCTAGAAGCGAAAAAGAAGGATGATGGAAGCTCACGCATTGATCTCTCGGAATTTGTAGTTACTTATTACATAGGACGAGGATCTTGTTAAAACACATGGTTTATCATATCAATTATAAGTCGTTCTTACAATCAAGAACATTTTGCAAAAAGTTCGTTGGTCATTAATGAATGGTTATTTTTATCATCTGGCGCGATATAATATGATAAATTCACCATCTATGTGTGACATCGAATTCTCCGAACTCCTCAAGGATTAACCAAGAGGTATTTACAGGATCCACATGCCTATCTGATAACATGTGATAAACATTTCGCGAAATCTGCACATTTCTGTGTCTTAACGAGTAGGAAGATCAGCCTCTTGACCCTCGAAGATTGGCAGTTCTTTCTCTATATCTGCCCAAACCTTGGTGCCGTCAACTAACTCTTTGATAGCCGCCAGGATCTTCTCCTGGGATGCACGGACTTGCTTGGTGGAATCTCTATCTCTCAAAGTGAATGTACTATCGTTAACGCTTTGGAAGTCGACGGTGATGCCCAGAGGGGTACCAAGTTCATCGTTTCGGCTATAACGCTTGCCAATGGATGCCGAAGAATCATCAATACGGCTAGAAATACCCATGGATCGGAGTTTATATGAGATTTGCTTCAGGAAGGGCTTGAAACTCTCATGAGAAGAAAGGGGAACGAGCAGTACTTTGGTGGGAGCAACAATTGGTGGGAATGAGAGAACCTAGATTTTGTTAGTCGCTACAAATGCATGAGAATGAACAATCACTTACACCACGTGCTTCATCGCCACCTTCGCTACCACGGGTCCAGTAGTTGTGCTCCATCAAGGCGTACAAAATTCTACCGATACCAAATGAAGGCTCGATTACATTTGGAGTATATTCTCTGGTGTTTTCAACCCGGGTTCGGAGCTCAATCTTGATAAGATCAGCACCAACTTCGGCTTTACCATCAGCAATTCCATCGACCTCAATGGCAATCTTTCCATCGTCTTTGAGTTTCTTTGCAAGAGATTCTAGTTTTTCTTGCGACAGAGCTTCAATAGCAGCCTCAACAGCCTTACCGTCCTTCTTGAATTTAGGGCCGAACTTCTTCTTATCGAGATCAACTTGCCACTCCTCGATATTAATTGGAGTATCTAATCTTTGACGGACCATCAAAGCCGCACCGGTCTTCTTCGCGTGTACGCTGAGATCATAAGCGCTTCTGTCAGCACAACCAACACACTCAACCCAACCAGAGCTGGTATGCAACTCGGCATCCCAGCAATCTGCAGCATAATGAGCCATCTCATTGGCCATGTGCTGTCTGAATCTAACTTTGGATTGATCAACACCAATCTTAGCAAGAAAGAGCTGGATTCGTGCCAAAAAGTAGCCAAGGGTCTCGTTGTCGACGGTACCATTTTCAACGGCCTTACCGATAGCCATTTTTTCAACATCAGTTTTACCGGCTAATTGAGTATGGCGATTCAATAAAACAAGCTCTACATCTTTGACATCGTTGAAACGTTCATGCTTCTTGCCGCCTTCGGGATCAACAAAATGTTCAATCTCAGCCATCAAGAATTCTCGAACTCTCAGTAAGCCACCACGGGGAGAGATCTCATTTCTGTATGACTTGCCAATGGAAGCAGAAGCAAATGGCATTTGTTGTTGATTGTACTCGAGAAGCTTGGCGAAGTTGACAAATTGACCTTGGGCAGTTTCTGGGCGTAGATAACCTGGTGTGTTACTGCTTGGACCAATTGCAGTCTGGAACATAAGGTTGAAAGCCACTGGTGCGGAAGGCTCCATGCCAGTTTCTGGGTTCTTCATTTCGTACTTTTTGATCAATTGACCAAGCTCTTCTCCATTATAATTATCGATCTAAAAGGTCAATATTTATACTTGTAATATCATTAAATAGACGCACCTTTGCCAAAATTTCCCCGTATTCTTGAACGACGTTATCATCGAGTTTGACAGCTTCAATTCCCTTAGTCTTCTTCTTCTTCTTCTTCTTTGATGGGTCCTCTTCTTCCTCAACAACTTTGACACCTCTAGCTTCCTTGTCACCTCGCAGCCTCGACTCAAGTATGTCTTCAACAAAATGATCCGCTCGCATGATATCGCCGTTCTTGGGATCTTTGCACATCCAATCTGCAAACTTCTCAACGTGACCACTAGTTTGGAGAACTTCGGCTGGAGTCAATGCTGTGCAGTCCAGTTCCAACATATCTTCTTCCAAGACGAAATGTTTGCGCCATAAGTCAACAACGTTTGCCTGCAAGGCGCAACCTGGAGGACCATAATCATACTACATGAGAAGTCAGTAATTGCCCGGAAAAGAAGGCCTAACATAGGCTGAAGGTTTGAAGCCTTTTCAGGAAGTGAAAGGGTCGTAGAATTAGATGCATGCAGAATGTAATGAACATTGGGAACACTGTATGAAAGGCTTCTTGCTTACAAGACCAGCGACTCCATTATAGATTTCGAAAGAGGGAGTATAGAACATGCGCCGCCTCAACATAGAATCGAGGACTTGACGATCAAGGGGCTGACCCTTGAGGGTGGTAGTGGTCGACATTATTTTGCCCTTCTTTTGTTGTGGTGTTTGGTATTTATGGTGGGGTGTTGTAGCTGCAAACGTTCGAAATGTGAGCTGTGGGTTTAGTTTTGGTTTGAGGACAATATTTCTTAAAAGGCTACAAAAAGATCGCATTCACCGAAGACTCATCCAATGATAGGTATGAGTCGAAGAAAGTCTGGGAACCTTTCAAAAGCTTTGCGATTCATAAAAGTCGTGGGGGAATTTCTTTTTGTGTGACTCGTCGCGAGGGGGACAGCCTTGTAGATCCATCCACCAATCGGGAAGAAGCGGCCGCATACCGATATCAGGTAAAATAATTTTTGGATTTCCTCTTCCGTTTTTCTGGACATCCTTTCCTCTAGGTATTTACTATATCGACACATAATAATCTCACAATGGGTTCCAAACGTGTACACCCAGCCTCTTCGAAGGCAGCATTACCTTTTAAAACTAGTAATAAATTCAAGAGACAAGATCTACATATCAAACAAAAGAAGGCTCGTGATAACGATCGCAGAGATATACGCTTCAAACGAAAGAGAGAAGAAGATAGAGATCCCGAATTGAGAAGGCAACGGTTAGCGAAGAACATTCCACATACAATTGATAATAAGCGTGTTTGGGATGAAGTATCGGGCGATGGGAACGACCTCAATATCAGTGTAGATGTCGAGCAATTAAAGAGAAGGCGCATAGAAGAGGCGGAGGCTGCAGAGCAAGAACCTTTAGATGAAGAACCAGAGGAAAAGGACGATGATGTCGATAGTATGCTGGATTCGGATTCAGAGAAGGGATCAGACGATGAGGATGAAGAAACCGAAAGCCGACCTCGAGCAGTTAGCAATGCGCCTTCAACAACCAGCACAAATCTCGACCTTACACCATCTTCCCTAGCCCTCAAATTTCCCACCCTCTTCACAGATGAACCTCCGCCAGCTCCAAAAATTCTCCTCACAACCTCCTTAAACTCTACACTCCATGCAGAAGCTCATCTGTTATGCACTCTCTTCCCAAATAGCAATTACGTTCCTCGATCGGCCCATCGCTATGGACACAAATATTCTCTACGAGAGATCTGCAAATTTGCTACAAATCGCGAGTATACATCCGTTGTCATGCTTAAAGAAGACGCCAAGGTACCTACTGGTTTGACCATCGTCCATCTACCATCGGGTCCTACTTGTCATTTCTCGATCAAGAATTGGGTTGAAGGAAAGAAGTTGCCTGGTCATGGTAACCCAACAAATCACTACCCAGAACTTATTTTGAACAACTTTCGCACACCATTGGGATTGTTGACTGCGAGATTATTCTTGACGCTGTTCCCACCACAACCAGAGTTACAGGGTAGACAAGTAGTCACGTTGCACAACCAACGTGATTATATATTTGTCCGAAGACATCGATATGTTTTCAGGGAGAAGCGAGAAACAGAAAAGAGCGTAGTAGGACCGGATGGAAAAATCGTGGAAGGTGTAGAGGGCATTAGAGCTGGATTGCAGGAGCTAGGACCAAGATTTACGTTGAAGTTGAGAAGAGTTGATAAGGGAATTGGCAGAGCAGGCAGTGAAGGTGATGATGCTGTCCAATGGCAATGGAAGGCTGGAATGGAGAAGCAAAGAACAAGGTTCAACCTTTAGCATTGTACTCTCTATACATACATAATTTGATTTTTGATACCCTCATATATACAAGTCCCATCCAACATGGTGTTCCTATCCTGCAAGTCTTCGAGTCCGGAGTACTTCTAGTTGCTTGCCTCTTCTCCACCTTTCCACAAATTCATTGCAACTCCTAGCCCATGAAGAGAGAATCCACCACTTTGAAACAATTGAATCTCCAGCCTCCTACGACTTACAGTGGTCGTGACTAGTCAACCTCATCTCCTTCATCTAATTCGTCAATTTCTACAAAGCGACCAGATAAATACGTCTATTAGTCTTCATGGAGACCGTCTCAAACGGATTCACACTGATCCCGAGACAAGGCCCTTCAATCAAAACATCTCCCATCTTCGTCGCTGTGCAAAATCTCTCATGTTCACTTCTTACGCGAGATAATTTATCCAACTTTCTTGGCTATATGATCTCCAGAACTTTGTGATGATGGCCAGGATGACGGCCTTGCTGCTTTTTAGATTCCTCCTCATCTTTTATACCATCCACTCGGTTAATAGCAGTTATGATTACTTCGAAGCCATATTCCACGGCATTGATTGAAGCTGCAGCTCCTATTTCGGCACTAATCGCACCACTGGAAACTACGGAAACAGTTGTTGATTCCAGGTATGTATTGTTCTAATCCGTCTAATGCGGATATGATATTCTACACAGGCTGAGGCGGCAATCTGAAAAGCACATCTTTGAAAGAACAGAGGTGTGTTTTCATTTCAAATAAAGTAAGAGCCAAAACAATAGATCGGATGTGTTAGATGTTGTTCTTGCCTTGTGAATATTGGTTTCGCCGTTCGAAATGAAAATGAGGTCGGCTGTATCATGGAGACCACGGTTCATGAAACACTGGACGTTGATCCTCGCCTCAGGTGACTGAAATGGCATATATAAGATACGCGGCCCTTCATTTGATGCAGAGGGTTGGATGGTTTCTGAAGTAGTCAATTTGCCCCCTACGACGCTTCCATTTCCTGCTTGTTGCTTTTGCGAGAAGAGAGTTTGATACAAGGCAAAATATCAAGGAATATCCCTTCGAAGAATGCTATCTAACATCCCAGAGAAAGTGGCCAATTCTTCCGAGGGGAGCACGCTTGCAGATCTTCTCAGGATAGTAGTGGCATCCAATGCCACGGTAAGTGCCTGGAGTGTTTAACATGCTGTGCTGCAAGCTATCCAGCAATGTTCTCAAATCTGAATGCTACGTTACCCCGTCATCTCCATATCGATGGAGCCCAGTAAAGCTTAAAGAAAAGCATGGATCCAAGCTCTCCTGATGTCATATACGCAAGTCGTTGATGACTCGAGCTTCGAGAACCTTGGAGACTGCACTACAATCCGTATTTTGGGTCTCGATAGTAAGACACGCTCCTGAAATCATTAAACTGAAGGATTCCTGAAGGCGAAACAAGATTTTAACAACTGACATATATTATGATATGACATCCCTCAGTTGAAGCGTCGGAAGCTTTTGTCAAATAGTCTTGAGCTGGTTAAGATCCCTTTATTCCTCAACTAGACTTCGCTGCGCTCCAAGTTTACTACAGTATGGTGGAAAGCTTAAGAGATAACTTTACCTCATTCCCCATAACCTGCATAGATAGAAGACCGTTATCTATTACTCGAAATGAAATGAGACTTGGAAGGGTGGGGTGATGTTTACACCAACGGATTCCTTCCAATCATGGAAATAATTGGCTAATGCAGCCAACCTCAACGTTATCTTCCCCGCGATGATGAATCTCGGGAATTCAAGCGGCATGATGAACAAAACGACAAGTTCAAAGATACCAAAACTGACACACGAATATTATACATTATTTTCAATACTCAATATCAAATCATGAATTCATTATTTTGATTTGAAATTGGAAGAAATGCATTTATAAGATTTCAGTTTACTATTAGGAGCACACTTTCTACATTTCAATGTAAATTGATATGATCATAAGATATCAAGATGTGAGTAAGTTCAACGCAAGATGATCATTCTATCCGAGCGATTTAGTGTACCGACCACTTTTGTCGTCCAGACTCCAAATAGACAACACCTGAATTAGCAAGACAATAGCTTTGTCGTTATCACACTTCACCGATAAAGTTCGTCATTGATGGTTATCGGGATATTTCATGATAATCAGGCCGCGGAGTAGCCAGTGACATTTCAATTGTCGAATGAGAGCTCAGAGTTGGTTGTCATCATTGCATATACTTGCTCTTTTGGGCCTCTAAGTGGAGAGTTGAGATACACTGCATAATCTCATATCTATATGATCACCGGCCATGATAGACTTCGTGATAAGTTCGCTATACACCATGACCACTTGAGATGTCTTAAAAACAGAGAGATCATCGCAATGGTTACCTGACCAAAGAGCTAGCACCTTCTGTCGTCTGCTACGTCAAAAGGTCAAAGTCAAACTCGTTTCTACCATAGTTTCCTTTCATTATCTCTTCTGCGGTTGATATTTGTGTCTTGTTTCACGATGGAGCACACCAATCATCAACATGATGAACTGGACACACGCGCTGTCCCAGGGACCATTCACTTGGTAGATCTCGAAGGTGTGATAAAGGAGCAGCATGCATCTGCATCACAATTACAGGATGTTGTCCTTGTTCCATCGCCATCCAGCGATCCAGACGATCCGCTAAACTGGTCGCCAAAACGGAAGATGTTATCAACAGCATGCATGTCCATGTATACTCTGATGGTTGGAATAGCATCTGCCGCAGTTTACAGTGTATTGGAGCCCATAAGTAAGGACACAGGCTTAACAGTCGCTCAGCTAAACGCGGGCACGGGCTACATGTTTTTATTTTTCGGAGTGAGTTACACTATCTCATATGCTTCCTTTCACAGCATAAAGCAATGGAAGGTCTAGAATGGCTAGGGAAGCATGGAAGGACGATCGAAGTTTGTCTCAAAATAGAGTCTAGCCCTTTTTTCCTTTCCATCCAGAATAAGGTTTCTCTTACGGAATCTGAGCGATATGTTTGATATCTGAGTACCTGGTCGCTGATGTTGTACTTCGAGTCCAGTGGGGAACTTTAATCGCCCAGCCCATGGCGCTACAATACGGTAAAAGACCGGTGTATCTATTTTCTATGCTAGCAACTCTGGGGTCAGTAAATGTTTAATCCATCATATTGCTTGTAGAAGTACTGACAGAACAAGTACCATGCTATGGGTGCCGCATGCTACATCAAACTCTGCCTGGATTGGAAGTAAGATTCTACAAGGTGCTGTCGGAGCCCCTATCGAATCACTATGCGAAATTTCGATCACAGATGTTTATTTTGCCCACGAAAGAGGTTCCTACATGGGATTATATGCTTTCATGCTGGCTGGAAGTAACTTTTTAGCTCCAATACTTGTGAGTTGTCGAGAGGTGATAATTGTCCCTCATTTGAGCTTACAAATTTACAGGCTGGCTTTATCAATGACGGACAAGGATGGAGATGGGTGATGTATTGGTGTGCTATCTTTCTAGCCATCGGATTTGTATTCTGCTTCTTCCTTATGGAGGAGACAAATTACGATAGAGCGCCTCAAGAAAAGACAATTTCCGGAAAAAACACAACTGGAATGACCACGCCAACAGAAGGAGTGCTCCAAGAGAAGTCTTCTGCTTCTTCAGAGCCACTTGATCCCGAGAAAGGTACCTCTCCCGAAGTCTCAAGATCAGTTAATCAGAATATTGAGCACGGCACCATTTATTACGAGCCAAAGACATATATTCAGAAGTTGTCTTTGAAGGATAAGAAAAGAGATTTCAGGCTCTTCCGAATGATGATTCGGCCTCTTATCTTCATGTCTCTACCATCAGTTGCCTACGCTGGATTCTCTTATGGCAGTAATTTGATCTGGTTCAATGTCCTCAACGGGACTGCCTCCTTGATTTTGAGTGCTCCGCCTTATAACTTTTCATCTTCCATGGTCGGATTGTCTTATGTTTCACCTCTACTTGGAGTAGCTTGTGCTTCCTTTTATTCCGGAGTCATAGGCGATAGAGTCGTACTATGGCTCGCCCGTCGTAACAAGGGAGTTCTGGAAGCAGAGCACCGCCTTTGGCTGTTCTCAATATCCATAATCCTCATACCTGGCTCTTTGATCCTTTGGGGTGTCGGAGCAGCTCATCACATTCATTGGTTTGGACTCATAGTTTCCATGTTCCTTATTGCTGGCACAAACGGTATTGGTATTCAGTTGTCTGTTTCGTACTGCATCGATGCTTATAAAGACTTGAGTGGTGAAGCCATGGGTATGTACCTTCTATCATCCTATTTGCCTTCCTCAAGTCCAAGCTAATGACTTTCACAGCTACTGTAATTATCATCCGAAATACAATGAGTTTTGCAATGGGCTACGGCGTCACACCTTGGGTTACTAATATGGGTTATCAAAATGCTTTCATTGTGGCTGCCTTTGCTGGTCTTGCTCAAGTTCTTACGTTCCTTGCGGTGGTGAAATGGGGCAAGAGTTGGAGAAATAACACGAAGGGAAGATACTACAAATATGTGGAGGAAAATGAGATTTTAGGAGTCACGCACTAGGAGAGTTAGAAGTCCTGGTAGGGAAGGGATTATAAACGAGACCTTGGCTCTCCTCCTGCCCGTCATATCTCCACAAACTTTGAAATCGACTGAGGCTCAAGAAACATGTGACAATGAAAGGATGTATCCATCACAACAATCACAGCACACTGAATGCATCTTATTTTCCCAACCTTGGCATGAACACCAATGTCCAGCTGCCATATCAAAACTGGCCATTATCGTCCGGTCTTATGTTCGGTCGATAGTATATATCTGCCGTCTCATGCGAATCTGGACTGAAGGCATTCTCCAACATTAATATCTAAGTTGCGCGCCTGAGAAAACACGAGATGGGAATTTACACGACGTTTGTGTCCTCGCGCATCAAGGATTACGGTGTTGGATTCGGGATCTCGGATCTTATAGGCAGTATATTAAGTGGTGAGAGTCGTCCGAACTCAGCTCTAGCTCAGTCGCACAAGGCCTAGCTGCAGGAAATTTGACGGTCTCGGGAGGAAACAAGACACTAAGAATAGCTATCATCGGAAGAATAATGTATCGAAAGGTGCAACGGCTGAATCCATCCGCTACCCTTATCAATGCCCAGGCACACCAGGAGATTTGATTATGCTTATATCGTGAAGGCTGTTGATATGATTTGACCAAAGTGCCCTTCTCCGTTTGCTCATGAGTTGCCTTTGAATACGAGCTACATGACACATTCCAACTGGTGAACGCTTTCGAAGTAAACAATTTTATCAGGGGCCAAAGGACGTGCATAACGCCAAGGCCTCGTCATCCGGGAGGAGCCATGACTGAGATTCTCGACATGATTTTGTTTTTCTCGAAAGCTTAAACTGCAATTTCCACTGCAGGCCTTCTCTCATTCCACCACTTCCACCGATGGTAAGGGAGTTCCATATAACGTTAAAACAAAGAAGAAAAGCGACGTGAGAAGAAAATGGAGGTTGTGATCAAAACATGCGTACCGTACCCAGCTATCACAAAATCATTGCATTTGTCTGGTCATCATGATTGGCACCACGAAGTCGGAAAGACCCCTTCATTCGAAATTTTCCGAGTTTTTAACATTCTTAGCACCAGTTGGTTGTAAGGGATCATGCAAGAAAGTCATCTGCCGTGCGTACATTCAGCCGTCCAAAGAGATTTCTAGCATGGAAGCATTCATTGTTCATCAACATTTCTACGCTTTTTCTTGTTATCAACTTGATCGGGCATGGTCCTAAGACCTTTCTTTCCCCACTTACTATCTTTTCTACTCTCAGGTCATTGTGACCTACATGAATATTTTCTTTAAACAGTATAATCAGTTCTAGGACCTGCATCTATTTGTAGGAGCTATACAAAAAATCAAACAGAAAACCTCCCATTTGTCTCATTCAGTGATGGGAATCATAAGAAGGCTGCACAAATCCTGCATCCTTGTTGTGCATCTATGGTAGGCTGCACGTCGACGGTTGTACCCATACAAATCGGATATACTCAGAGTTTTGACCCTACTTCTCTACTTCCCTGCTCATTGTCGCTGCATATCAGGTCAGCTTGCCTCTGCTTTGGGGGTTTAATAGGAAGTCCATTTCCCACCTTGCATCGTTCTTCACTTCTTCATCGGTTTTATAACCCTTACAGTCGCTTCAATTTTTTCGAAAAAGTCCTTCGTTTCCCACGAGTCTTGACATAATAGAAGCTCGGTGTAAAGCTTCTATTCTATAATTTTTACTATATATAATTTTGCAACGAAATCATACATTGAAAGTAGTTGCACCTCACATTCTTTCAAGAAACGATCAACATGAAGTCTGTTTCGATCCTCGCCACTGTGGCCTTGGCTTCCTTGTCAAGCGCACATCCAGGACCTGCCATGCCAAAGTTGATGGGCGGCAGGGAATTCCTCCAAACCGTTAAGGGTCGCTATGCCATGCCAGCCCCAATCACATCCCCCGTACATGTAGAAGAAAGATCGCCTGAGGTAGTACCCAGAGCGGACGATCCAAATACTTGTGGTCCAGGTGTTGGTAGCTGTGTAAATGCATGCTGTTCTCCAGAAGGGTAGGTACTTTTCTCTTAGCCCTACAGACGTCAACTAACGGATCTACTAGATATTGCGGTACTACAGAAGAGTATTGTGCATCTCCAGATTGTCAATTTGAATACGGACCTCTTTGCGATACACTCCAAGTTCCAGCTGGCGGTTCTACAGCAAACATCGAACGCCCACATATTGGAACTGTTCCATATGGTGGGGCTGGTATTTATGATTGCCAAGTCGCTGGAGGTTCGTTTTTCCTGGACTCTTTAAAGATTTGGAAGAGGCTAACTTGTGTATCCTACTAGACATCGCGTTTACCTTTGATGATGGACCTTATCTTTACACTAATGATCTCCTGGACAAACTTGCAGCTTATGGGGCCAAGGCTACCTTCATGATTACCGGCAACAATCTTGGAAAGGGTGCAATCGATACCACTCCAGAGTACACTGCTATTGTCAAACGTATGGTCAAGGAAGGTCATCAAATCGCATCCCACACCTGGGGCCACCAGAATTTGACATCCCTCGACCCAAAAACGTTCAAGAATCAAATGTACTACAATGAGATGGCTTTCAGGAACATTCTTGGATATTTCCCAACATATATGAGACCTCCTTATTCCGAGTGTAATGCCACTTGTGGTGATCTCATGGCAGACTTGGGATACCATGTAACTTATTTTGATTTGGATACTGAGGGATATCTGAACGATGCTGCAAATCTCATCCAGAACTCCAAAAACATCTGGGACAAGGCCATTGCCACGGCAGATGCCACCACTGGAAATTTCTTGGAAATCGAACACGACATTCATTATCAAACCGTCTACAATCTTACAGACTACATCCTCGCTTCCATGTACTCTCATGGATTCAAGTCTGTTACCGTCGGGGAGTGTCTCGGAGACCCATCCGAGAACTGGTACAGAAGTGGTAATGCCAGCACTCCTGTTCCTACACCAAGTAAACAAATCTCCGATGACGGTTCCTGCAATGCTGATATCACATGTCTCGGTTCCACCTATGGAGACTGCTGTTCTGTCAATGGTTATTGCGGTTCTACAGACGACTATTGCGGTACCGGTTGTCAATCGGCTAGCGGAACATGCTCTGGATCATCCACATCCTCAACTTCTGCAAAGCCAACCAGCACTCAAACGGTTTCAGATGATGGAAGCTGCTCAAGCTCTACCACTTGTAATGGATCTAGTTTTGGTAATTGCTGCAGTCAATATGGATACTGTGGAAGTACTACTGATTATTGTGGTACTGGATGTCAAAAGGCCTTCGGCACCTGTACTTAGGGGGTTAATCAGAGGAGCATGGAATGGAGGTTTGAGAAGCTTTTCCTTTCGCTGTAGATATGACACTATGAGAGGATCCGGGGTAATTCTTATGACTACAATATAATAATTATTTAATAGATATTTCAAACAAAGTCAAGCACGACACCAAAAACTACTATATACTTGGCCTTTTGATACACCTGGTGAGCATGGCCTAGCCTCTAGCATCTTCTCAACGTCACGAGGATGCTTCATCGCTCCAGATCCAGTTCTCGCCTGAACCGCGACTGTGAAGATCCTTTCGCAGTACATTTCTCATATGGATAAACATTCCAACGACAGAGAGGTGAGGGCGTAAGTCAAACCGTTAGTGACTAAGCACGCACCTCTGACCACCTAACATCTGATGGGATATAGTAAAGTTGCATATCAACAATACACATTCTTTGCAAATTCGATAGGAAGTCAGACAACCGCTATATTGAATGACTGTCTCCATAAAGCAGTATAGTACCATTTCATCGATTCGATCACGAGATTTCAATCTTTAGGAATTACCTACCATTATTTCATAATCACCAAACTGCCAGTGATTCTCGAATTTTCAATCGAGTTGAGTGACTCGGTACACCACCACTCTTTTTATTTCGCGAGTCGATGGCAAGCCAATGGAGCGCTAAACTCTAACAGGTAAAGCCTTCACTAAACACACTCCATTATTTACTCAATACTATCTGAAAGAAAGCTTCGAACAAAAGATGATCCTTCCTTGACATCAATACCTGATAAACTCATCGCAACTCAAGTCCCTTACCTATATCCATATATATCCCTCCTATCCTCTACTCATCGATCATCATCCACAGATCATACTTACACCAAACAAGACTTTCTACCCTTACTTGTCAAGTTCCAGGTCCTCGTGAACATGACAACTCCAGCGGCAGATTCGCAAATCAATCATGCGGATGCTATAAATTAGTGCGTATTATCTCCCTCCTGATATCTCCCCTCAAAGTCTCAAAGTCTCTCTCAACATCCCATTCAATATGTCCTTTAGAGAGATTAATGACCAGACAACAAATACCAATGAAAAGGGAAGGAAAAAAACTGACAAAACACACAGCTGGGAAAGCATAGAAGCAAGTGATGATGGAATGTTGGGAGGCTTTCCGTATATCAGTCGAGTGGATATACAAGGATCAAAGAACTTTTTAGGGAAACTGGGGGTAAAGGGTGCGAAATTGGGAAGGGCGGTGGATTGTGGGGCGGGGTGAGTTATTCTTTGTTGTGCAAGTTTTTGTCTGTTTCCTGGGCGTGGATTAAGTCGTCTTGTGGTGTTTTCGCCGTGTGGTGTCTTTTCATCAGCTGATCAAGATGAGGGTTCAATGACTGAAAGTTCAGTACTATAACACGAATGAAATCATGGATCGGGGTCATTCGTTGATCATAGAAGCTAGAACATGTGTGAATTAACACGACTTCCAGAATCGGTCGAATTACAAAAGCATTGCTTCTTAGTGTTGCTGAGACAGTGGATATTGTGGAACCAGTAACGAAGTTCTCTTCTGCGCTTATAGACCAACCTGGAGTTGGCCAAATATATTCGGTTGGCCTGGAAGCGTGGACACCAGATGCAGAAACAAGATATGACTTGATGTGGAACCAGTGGTGTCTAGGACATTTGACAGACTCTCAACTGGTGGAGTATCTTCAGAGATGTGGAAAGGTGTTGAACGAAAATGGTTGGATCATAGTTAAGGAAAACATGAGCACACATGCTGGCAATGATATGTTCGACGAACTGGATAGTAGTGTCACTAGGTATGTGAAAATCAAAAGTAATTGGGATAGAAAGCTTACATGAAGCGTTAGGACTGATGAGAAATTTCGTGCACTCTATGAGAAAGCTGGCTTGAAGTTAATGAAGACGGAATTGGCGAAAGGTTTCCCAAAGGGATTGTACCCTGTCAGGATATATGCATTGAAGCCGGAATGAATGTCAAACATAGCTGCCATAAAATTTTGAAAACATCAAAAACTCTTCGCTCAACACACATAACATCGCAGAAGTACCGGTTACATCGAAACTTCACTTGGCTTGAAGGGGCACGGCATGTCAAGGATAATGTTCTAGGACGAAGAATTCTATCTGGAACACAAATACTAGAGAGCCAAGTGCGGATTCTACTCGTCTATTACTGGAGTAATTTGCCACACTGTTTGAGAGTATGGGCGTTATTCGTTCTCAAATGAAATGACTCTAAGCAAAGTCACTGAGTTGTCAAGATGATTATATTCTCGGAAACGTGATCCTAATCAAGCCTGTGAAACTCGAACTCAATTTGGAAGGTAAAAAGCTCAACATGTTCTTACCATCCACAACTACAACCATGTTCCTTCTTGGAATAGTTGAGAATTAAAGAGTTGAGAATTACGTCTTCAATCGCCTAGTTTATCTTTTTCCATTGCTTACACCACTTTCTCATCCTTAAGATATACAATATGGCCCCACGATTGATTCCCCTTTTGCACATCAGTCTTTTTGGTATAATTATTATTCTACAATTTATCATCCTCCCAGCAAGTAGTTACGTGCTCGAACTAAGAACGTCAATTATCTCCACCAGACTCTCCCTTGACGAGTGGCAGTTCTTCACGTTCAGAATCGAGCACCAAAGCCCAATCAGTAAAGGGATACTTCATTCGTACGGAATAAAAATTGGCCTTCGAAGGATTTTCTTCGAGGTTCACCATCTCTATAAAGGACGTTAGTTGATCTCAGTCTTTGAGTTGATTTTGCTTGCTTGCTTATTTATTGTACGAGTGTAGATCAGCAAGGACGATTATTGGTACCACAACTTTCGACGGCGGCCATCGCTCTAAATCTGGATTTCATTGCACGTTTTGTTTCTAGACTTGGCTGTCATTCTTATTTTTCTTTACCTCGTCGAGTTTTCGAAAGCATCTTCAATCTTTAGCCTCTTTGCGTAAGTAATCTGTGAATGTTCGTTCTGTTTACTTTGCTTGATGGGAATTTTCCCGCTAATGCAGGCTTAGTGTTCGAAATGGATGGGCTATCGGGGATCACAACACAAGATCGAATGAGGGCGACTTTTTTGGATCGTGAAGACTCTGTGAGGAGAAGACAAATAACAACAAAGTGAATACGAAGCTTGAGGGACTGTGGGAAGAGAATCGATCGGAGTTGTGTGTTTGCAGCAGTGGAAGAGGATATGCGTCAATTGACCGGCACAGCAAATTACTCCTTTTAACCTTCACCAACTCGAAGAAACAGATCTCTAAGAGAGGTGAGAAGATACTCATCACCAAGGAGTTCCCAATCCGAGACTGTCACACATAGGTCTGATGAGTCGATAGACATGGTGGATGAATAGCGTTTCTAGGATGTTAATTTCCTTTCTTATTACTGGCCTGTAGGCGTAATTCTGCAGATTTGGGATTAATGAATTGTATAATGATGGAGAATGGTATGGCAGGGTATGGGATTGATATTATTGGCGGCTGGCAGGTCTTATTTGAATGACTTGAAGTTGTCACCAGCGGTGCTGTCAGCGAGGTGAATTACATGATCAAGCAATATGAGAAGTAGTCATCGTGTAGAGCTGTCAAAGGAGAAGCTATTTGTCACGTCATTCTGCTACTAGTAGCAGCTAAATTGTTCTTAAGTCGAATACACAGCTTCATGGCATTTCGCAATTTTCATCTTTCTCAGACGGTATGCGCTTTCTTGTGACATATATCTTGTCGCCTCTATATTCAGCCCTACAATATTCCCATCATAGAATCACCTCTTCTTGTGGAGATAATTTGCTACGAGTATGTATGTATGTATGTATATAGTTGAGCTAGAGGGAGGATTGTTTGAATGGGAATGGGAATGGGAATCTGAATGTGAAGCTGGAGGTTCGATGAGGGATAGGTTTGAGTAGGATATGGGTGTGGGGATTGAGATGTTTTGTGTGGCATGTGAGATGTGGATGTGGGCAATTTTGGATTCTGTACATTGAATTTCAAATACCTATGAATAAAGGAGTTGGTGATTCAAACTTGGGGTTGAAAATTTGGGTAGCGAGATGAATCGTCGATGGATGGAATATTGTGATATCGAGGTATGTATTCTGTTAGATTTCTCTTGCAAGTGTGGGAATTCGGTTGGTCAGTCAGTCAGTTAGTCAATATGACAAACACCTTCAGGGGAGATCGTGTATGGCAATTTGTAAAGCATCGAGCTTCGAGGAATTGAGGCAAGTAGTATGATTTATGTTTGAATGATTAACGTAATTTGGATCTTCTGGAACCTGCGAATGATCGTTCGGCGTGGTGTTCTGTTTTTGTTTGTTAAGAGTGCAAAGGATATACTGATAGAGAAACATAGAGAGGAGAGATCAGATGGATGGCTGTCGATTTATCACTACAGTATTACTTTCCCATTATTTCTCTACTCCGCGAAGAAGCTTCAACAATTGCAACTGCGTGCATCCAAATCCTGAACTTCCCAAGTTCACTACACACTGTACCTAAAATCCCCATCTCAAAACCAGCCTCCAAACAGAACAGCACACTTTCAAATCATCAAAGCAACATACTTCAGTCACCCGCTCGTTCCTGCATATGATTTACACTCCACTTCCGCTTCCATCGAAAAACGGGAAGTGGATTTGCTATTTCAGTATTGATATGTAGATTTGACTCCATGGGTTAAGATTTCTGTAGATTGAAAAATTTGTTATGTTTGGGGAGGAAGAAAACTTTCGAAGGGGGAGGTTTTTTTTTTCAGAGTGGGAAGATGGAGTTGGGGCGGGATTTTTTGTAAAGGGTGCGACTAAGAATTATCTTTCTAGGGATAAAGAGAGAGAGAGAGAGATGACTTTGGGTGTTTTGTATGACGGGACGATTATATAGTTCTTGTTTAACTGTCGACCATTGGAAAAAGGGGAAACAAATCAACATTGATCATACTACAGTACTTTATCTAGTATGATGAATTTTCAGTATAGCAATAAGGAATTTCATTAATCATACCACATATTAGCAAACACCAGTTCGTATAGACGACGCACCTCGCATTCATCCCATGTAAGAATACATTTCTAATTTCTCTCAGCGTGCAAGGAAGAATCTCACAAGCTACGACGCATAATTCGGCTTAGCCAGTCCCTACTTCCCTTCTCTTTGAGCCGCAGCAAGGTGTCCTGAGCAAAGAGCATAGAACATAAACAAACAGCTCACTCAAAAATCTCTCCCGATTCCATCTCGCATCTGAGGCATACAGGTAATACAACCCCAACACACCAAGCCATCTATCCACTCCTCCCCCTCCAAAATATCTCGTAACAACAACCTCCAACCCACATCCCAAGAAACCTCTTCCACACACCGACTATTCTCTTCTCCCAATCCCTCTCCCAAATTCCACCAAAACCAAGTCTTTTTTTTCTTTCCATTCCAGAACAAAAAGCTTCCAGACATTTTCCACCGCGCTCGTCGACTCCATATATATGAAGATTCTGACGTGAAAAAATTCCAACAACCATGTCATATCTGTGCGTACCCAGCTCCAGCTTTCTTTACTCGAGAGTTCCGGGGTTTAGAAGTGGGACATGCGAGCCGGGTCCCCGGTAGATGTTCCACAGAGACAATATGATAGGATAACTACCTGCCTAGCTATTGATCCAGGAACAAGAACGGAAACAGCAGCTAAAATCTAGTTAAATGCTTTGCGATAACCAATGGGAGGACGTTGGGAAACGGTCGTGCGAGCATTTTTATGCAACAAATGATAGGTATGGATTAAAGTAGAGCTAGGTAGCTATGCTACACTAAAGTCTTTCAAGCCAGCGCTTAGCCTTGCAATTTATCGTGGTCCACACACAGTAATAGATCCACAGGGCTGAGGAAACTTTGCCCTAGTAGCCTTATGCTCAATAATTATATACAGGGATATATGTGGTCTAGAACTTTGGTAAAATTCTGCTGAATTAGATTGGATATATTTTTCGTGAATATTCGATTGCATATGGTAAGTTTCTAGATATTTTGAGAGTAATGGACGACATAGACTCATCTCGCGAACTATATTACCAGTGTTCAATGTAGGTAGATAAACATGCCATATCATATAATCCCTATACATGCCTTGTAAACAATCACGAGAGCATTAATCTCCTTCTTACCAGCTTCACAAAGAAGAAAATACACCCAGAACTTCCCAGTACCTATTGCTGATAAGAAACAAGCATAGAAGAGTGTCAAACCCTCCCTTTCCATTCGGAGAATAAACCCATCTTCCCAGTACTCCGGAAGTAACGAACCACCCACCCACCATCGTGACAACACTCCTAATAATCCGTATATTTTCCAAACATCAAAAATGGCGAGCAAATGAGCGACTAATACAGACCGCATATTCTCCACTAATTGCTAGAGATGCACTTTGAGAATACTTCTCTCAAGGTAGGTAAAGAGCTGAAAAACAAGAATCCACATCAACATCTACCAGGGAGAAAGTGTTTTTATTTTATTCCATTTTATTCACCGCTACGAAGAAACATTGAGATGCTATGACCACCCTGAGAATTTCATCGTATAATTCTCTGGAAAGGGCGATGCGTGAATGGTTCATGATATTTGAGTCCCATATTCTTGGGCAGCCTTTCTCAAAGCCTGTCGTGGCTGGGTCTGCACGTACCGAGAGACTTTCTTGTGTGAAGATTTTCTGATATTCCAGATTGAGACGTGAATCGCTAGATTCGTGCTGAGTATATAAAGAATGGGAAAGTCGTCGCATTTTGTAAGACCTTTTTTGAGGATCACAGTATTGTACATTCGTTTGGACATTATAACGAACGCGCATTCATTCGTGGGAGACGAAAATTCATTCATTCATTCATATTATTTCTGAAGTCCAGAAAGCAAGCAAGAAAACGAATAATTAATTTCATAATCGAACATTCCTCAAATCACAAGATCAAGAATCGAAACTTTTCAACTCCTGTCCACCCACACTCAAATAATTCCATGAAATTCGAGTCTCGCTCCCCCCACATCGCCGTGGCCCCTTCCACCGGCGCCCGCATCCTCTGTATCGACGACTACAACGACGGCCGCGGCGTCTTCGTGCAAGCCTACCTCGAATGTTTGCGTCTCTGGCAAGCCAACTGTTCCCCAGACCGTCGCTGGATATTCAACGACATCTCATCCGCGGGACTCTATCTCACCACCGACTTCAGCAAAAACCATCGATCTCTCTTCCATCATGAGCTCCGCAGGCCCAAACAAGAAGATCGAAGCAACAATTCTCTCCACGCATTTCAACAATCCAAAGCATGTGATAGTTTCGAGAAACGCTGCATCTTAGCGCGCGTGGGAACGAGAGAGATGAGGGGAATCAATCGCGAGGATTTCGGCACCAAGAATATGATTATTTGTTTTGATCATGGGAATATGGAGATCTTGGCTTCGTTGCGCGATGAAGCGGAGCGGGAAACACGCGAGTCTCAAAAAGCGAGGATTCATTATATACCGCTTGGGAAGGGATGGGAATATGATTTAGATGCGTTTGCGTGGGCAAGAAAAAATGTTCGACA